TAGTTTTATTGATCGCATTCTTTAAAGACGCCTGTACCGTTGGCCCCCACCACTGTAGGCGTTTTAAATACGGCCAATCAATACGCAGAGCGCAGCCAGCTTATGATTAAATAAAAGACTGATTTGAAGTGTTGTGTTTATTCTACGATGATTTGTTCCACCTGAACTGTTCAATGACTTCACACGGTCAATCCACAATGCTGGTTCAAGCATAAAGATTTAGAAGCTGGACCAACTGCTCAAGATGTGCTTTATTTAACAACAAAAAATTAGCAGTTTTTCATGCATTGATGGAACGTCAAGAAAGCTAAGCTTAGTATAAATGTGAATGTCACCAAGCTACATTTCTGAGAAAGTCTGCTTGCTTTCTTGGCTTAGAGTGGCCTAGAACTGCATACTTTAAAAAGGACAGCGCTGTGTGACTGGCATGCAAAGCGGCCAATTACAAATCATTGTTTTTGTGAGTTGTATAGGAGCAAGAGATTGTTAACTGATGTTACCAAACTTTTTTTTTTAATTCAGTGTCTATATTTTACTCCAAAAGGCTGATTCCTGTCACCCTGAAGAAAAGGCAACAGTTTGCTGCTGGTGCTAGCCAGCATCTATCATGATAAAAGTTTGTTTCCTGTCTGACTGAACTGGTGCACAGAAGTCTTTCTGTATATTTAAGACTGACTGGTGATAGATGGTCATTTGATTACTAAAACAGCATAATCCAGCTTGGCTCAACGCTATGTAGTGACTCTAAAAATAAAACTTGCTACAGTTTCTCATTAGGTTGAAAGAGATTTTTGCCAGCATTTTCTAAACTTGTCCAATGTTGTACCGACTACAAAATAATTCATTTGTGAGTGGATCATTCATAGGTCAATTGTGATAAGCCTTGCAATACAGTAAAAACATATCAGAGAATCCTTGATATGACATGGTGTTGTATACACTTTGAACACCCTGTGACATATTTCATTACATTTCTGTTGATCTCAGGGAAACAAATGTAACACATCCGCTACAGGGAACAATCTTAAATATGCCATTTTCTGCTCATTTAAGTGAACAATTTCTATTTATTTGCTGACACTGAACTTTAAAACAGAAAAAATGAAATGTGCCACAAATTTTGCACAGGCCACATTTTATTTTTTTCCCCAATTTGTTCATTTGTTAAACAGTAATTGTGCATTGATATTTGCAAGATTATGTTCTCTGTTGAGGATGTGTTCATTCATTCTTACCTAGAAAATCAACAAAACATGTAATCTGACTGGGGTGCACAAACTTTTGCATATGACTGTATATGTAGATTAGCCTCTATTATTTTTACCGAATTTATGAACTACATGAATGCTTTAATTCATTCCAACACCCTAAGAAACATGTCTGGAACTTCTGTGGCTGGTCAGGATGCTCACAGCACATAATACAGAAAAACTGTAATTTGTTAAAGGGTTAATTTGCAGATTGCAAACTTCTGCATTATTAAAACTGCAAGGATAACATCACTGTGTAGGCTTACTTTCTATATTCCGACACTTGCAGCAATTACTGTATACACAGTCCTGCGGTCTTCACGTTGTCTCCATGCTGTGTTCAAACCTTTCGGAGATGCACAGCCATGTCTTAAATCTGACAAACACCAAATCAATATGGTTTAGAATAACAACTCTGGTTCAGAATACAGTAATGGCCCTGATGACTAACCAAAGGGTCAACATGCGCATCCAGGGGAACAACAAATCGGAAAATGGCTTTAATTCCTGATTTCCAATTCTTCTAGTGCGTCCAATTATCTTTCTGTTGCTTTGGTCTTTTGGTGGAGCACACAGCAGACAAGTAAACAGCTGATGTGGAGCAGAGAGTAAATACACAGAAAGAATAGGAAGCAAAATAAAGGGTTTTGGGGCAAAGGTCAGAGTGAGCTCCTGTGCTGAATTGTAAAGTAGGAATTCAGACTTTGTAGATGTGGAGGACCAGAGAAACAGTAACTAGAGCTTTATTGTGTCTCTTTTATTTTAGGCAGTAACTTTTTGAAATATACTCTCAAATATGAAGGTTAGACAAGCAAAAAATGACTTACTTTTTAACTCGTGAAAGATTTACATCGGTCAACATTCCCCAGATAGAACCTTAAAATTCCCCTTATAATTTATAAGGTTCTATCTAACAATTTTGTCAAAATTAAGTTATTCACATATTTTTATTCCATGACAACTTCTTAACATCATGTCAGGTGTTATTTTTAAGTTGTGTACATTTTTGGTCTCATCATCCGGAAAACAAAAAGGTTCTACATCAAACTCTAATAAGGTTCTATTTGTGAGCCAATCAGCACTTCAAATACACACATGAGGACCAATCAGGGTCTGCTTCTTTGTCGTGTTGCTGCACTACACACTGACTGCAGGAAAAATTTCTAAAACTTTGGGCAACATGAAAACATGTTGATGAAACTCTTTCTTTAAAAAGCCTTATTGTATAAATATTATCTTATTGTATAAATATTAAAGCTTAAAGGTAATTGAATAGTGATCATGTGAATTCATGAGGTCTTAATTATAACAAATAATAATTTCATTCATTCATCCATCGTTCCTTTTTTCTTCCAAAAACAAGATATTTTGGTTTAGAGCCAGGATTTCTAACATAAAACCTCATGCTGCTTTTAGACTGGCCTGCTACACTATCTTGCTGGGCCAGTTTATTACAGCAGCTGGTTGCTGTCTAATCTAAAGGAAACTTAAACTAATGGTTCCTCCCTAAAACTGACTTCTGCACTGGACAAGATATTTAACACTGACTTGTATACTTCCAATCTATTTATCACTGTTTTTTTGAATATAAGAAATAACTTACAAAAAAATAAACAAATTATAAAAATAAACATAATAAAAATGTCATAGACAGCATTAAATTTAACTTTCTGATAATGCAGACACTCTGTTACAACACTATATTATGTTTTAAAACAAATTATGAGTATAAACGGTTTGTGTTTCTTGAAGATTGTTTCTTTTCGTGTTTTGCCTAATAAAACCTTATAATTCCAAGCAGAAAGTGATTTCTTAGGATTAGGGTTCTATCTGCATTTAACCTGCTCCAAAAAAATGATTCAAAAATTTGATAGGATCTTGATATTGTACATTTAGAATACATTTAGGCTGTGTGTGATTTTCATGTATAAAAGAGTCGTGTTCCACATATCAGTTTTGCTATTTGGAATCCAAAATCTTTGAAGCTCAATATCTCAAAACTGCTCAAAGTGCAGACAGAACCTTATAATTCCAAGGGGACGATTTGTTATGCATGTGTATTATATCTGTCGACTTTGCATGCGTCTTTACTGTGGAGTGGCTTTGCAACTGTTCACTCTCTTTATCTGCTTAATCTACAGAAATACAACCAAACTGAACTGAACTGTGTTTCTGTGGTCAACTCAGTCCTTTGAATTTCTTAGGCTGACATACTTTTAAGTTAAACAAAACTCAAAGATGACAAAGATGTCAAGATTTTGGTCAGTCACTAAAATGTTTGATCAGTACTGCACTGTGACTATGCTGTTGTCTTCAGGTCATTAGTTGAAAAAAAATGCCCTTAAACTGTGGTTTGAGTAGTCAGCTGGTTGGCTTCATGTTCAGACCAGCTTCATTAAGTCACTTTCTAGCTCATTATGGCATGAAAAGTAGACAAGATTAACATCCTTATTTTACCCACCCATTTTTTCAAAGATCATCTTCTGTTGTGACCAATATTTGTTTAAATCCCAGCACGATTACCAAAGTAAAACAGGTTTTTGTTAATGGAATGTGTTTCCTATTGCAGAATACTGGATTTTACATTTTACATGTAATACTGAGATGTTGGTTTGTATAATTAGAGAAAAGGAGGGGTTTAAAGGTAGCGGAGAGAGAGAGAGAGAGAGGTTTAGTGAAAGGTCATCTTTTTCCCCAGCCAATTGTGTGCCTGCGCTTCTCTCTTACACATGACCTTCAGTGACCTCGTCGCTGCAGGAGACACCCAGCGAGGAGCCGGCATACAAGCCAGCGTGTGGATCAACATCAGAGATAAAGGTCAGTTGATGACACGTGGTCAGGAAACGAGGGAGCGAAACCTGGAAATCCTCACGCAGCATGTACAGCCGGCTTAGCTTGGAGGTTGTGCAAAGATATTGAACTTGTTCATTTCAGGTTAGCATTAGCATAACAGCACATATTACAGCTTTCAGGTTAGCATCACAACATCAACACACATTATACTGTATTGCTTTGATGACACTTGCATAATGAAAGAAAAAACAATAACCATAACCTTAGGATCAGTTCATGATGTGCTTGAATTGGTTGAATGCAGACAAATCATTCGATGGTTGAGGCTGTTAAGAGGCCCCTGCTTGAAATAGCTATGAAACTTTTAGACTGTAAGTAGTGGTAGAAACTGTTGTAACCTGTCTAAGACCAGATTGCCAAACAATGAGAATGACAACAGAGAAGTTTTTTACAAACTCTGTGCATTCTAGACACAAACACTTGTCCTTCTGTTCAGTGATTCTGGGCAGCAACATTTCAGCAGCGGGGTGACATTTCACAACACATCATCATTTCAAACACTTTCACAACCCAGGCAAGAGGGAGAGCAGAAAAAAGAGCGTTACCTTTTGTCGGGAAGGCTGCGGTCAAGGGCTGGTCTTCAGGAGAAAAGGCCAGAGAACAGGACAAGAGTGTGACGGACATGGCGGAGTAACGGAAAACGGAACGAGATGGAGGGGAGAAGGAGGCACAAACAAACCAGAGAACATGAAAGAAAAGGCAGGAAGGGGAGAGGACGGGTACTGAACGTGGGAAAATAAAGGTAAGACAGGGAGAAATGGAGGGAGGGAAAAAAAAAGGAGGTGGGGAAGGAGGAACGTGTGTAGAAAAGCTGAGGAGAAGAGAAGGTTGGGCAGAGTAGGAGCCTTTCGTTCCCCTCTCAAAAAAAGTGCGGGAAAAAACAGAACGAACCCATACCTTGGTTGTTTAACGTCAGGTGCGCCAGACCTTGAAGAAAAGAACAGAAAAAAGAAAGAAAGAAAGGAAAAAAGAAGGTCATAAAAGGCACGGGAGGGGAAAAAAAGCATTGTCACAACGTTGGACTGCAGTTTGTGACAGACATCCTGGGGCAGACATGGATGTCAGAGTTGAACTCAAAAGTTAAAAAAAAACGAAAGAAAAAGAAGGAAAAAGAGAAAGAAAGAAAGAATATAACCGAAAAACGAGCAAACACTTCTTAAGAGAGGTGTGGGGGACAGAAAAAAAAAGCATTTCATTCGGCGCAACCCCCGAAGGCCATTGCTCACTCAAATGCTTTTTTTTTTCTCCAGAGTACTTATGGAACACACACATAACTGTTTGGCAGTAGGAGCTTTCTCCATCTAAACTGAGTTCCTGCCCTATTCCTATCTAACGTGGCCTCTCTTTGCAAAGCCACAGACTGCCACAGAATGGGGCAGAGATAAGAAAGACAAAAGGGATGAATAAATCTTGCATTTTTTGTCAACAAATCCCAACCCAGGGAAGTGGTAACCATTATTTCATTCTGCAGCTGCAGGGGAAGAAAACAAAGTAAAATCATTCAGACTTCTACAAGACGATTGCATTCAGAGTCTCCAATCCAAACTAAACAGAGTGAAAGTATTTGTTTTACACTAAGCAAATCCACCACACGCAATCAGCTACTCAACATTACTGATGAGTGATTACTAATCTAGAAAGGTAAAGTGATCCGCTCTCAAAATTGGATGAACTTTGTTTCTCCGTCTGCTCACAATGACGCAAAAACCATCCCATAACGAACCAAGACGCAGTGCTAGCTGAGACATGGCTTTTAGGCTGTACCGCAGCAAACCAGCAAGGAAGTCATCCATCACATCAGCCTAGATCAGCAAGTGCACTCATTAAAAACCATACAAACACCACCTTCCAACCATTTTGCTCTTACAGACAACATGGAACAAAACCACAAAAAACCTATAACTTCCTGCAGTTACTCATCCACGCAGAAGCGTAACGTCATGATGTGAGTTGACGAAGACATCACATCCACAGAGTGAAAAGCATTAAACACCAATTTAAAAACACATTTCTAATGAATAAACTGCTTAAACAAGAAACACTTGTAGCAGTACTTTCAGCATTTATAACATGTAGGAAGTACAGCTTGGAAAGTTTGCTCAATGGAGTATAAGAGGTGAGTCACTTTCTTCAATCCGAAACTTTTTTTAAGTACTTTATAATAGCAGCACATTCAAGGGGTTTTATCTAAAAAGACTTCGCATGACAAACTGTCAAACTGCAGCACTTTTCAGGATCTCATAACTAAACCTTGAAATATTCAGACAAGAACACATTTTATGAACTTTTGAATGTGTTGTTGTCTTTTTGAAAACGTGAGTGAAAAGAAACAAAAAACAAAACATGTCTGTGCACTTGAAATGCAGCCATCCTGAATAAGAAGCAGATTTATATGTATTTATTTATTTTAAAGAGGGAAAAAAGTTCTCTCTTTCAGCAGCTAGGTGCTAATGGAACAGAAAGGAAGGCATGAAAGGACCACATGGGATTAGAGCTGTTGGCTGATTTTGGAGAAGTGATTTTAGATCCTGAAGTGGAATATGTAATCACCTATTCACAGCCATCAATTCACTGCTGACTGCACAAAACTTCACTGTACGCCATCATTAAAATGCAGAAGGCCTATTATGTTTAAAACCTCCATGACTGCAACAGAGCCGTTTTAAATCAAGCTGTGCTTTGTGAGTGGACAATGAGTAGAACAGTGCCTAAGAAATAACAGCATTTATCCTCCAAAATCCATGCTCACTAAGAACTTCCTCTACTCTGAATCCACTGTTGAATACAGTCCTCTCTTATTGTTTGCGCATTTCTTTCGATGTATTCAGCACTCGTCCAGCATCTCTAAGACTTATCGCATTGTGATAAGTGCCTTGAAGGAAATTACACTGGAGGCCAAGGAAATTAAGACTGCCCTGCAGTCTAATACCAGCAAACCACTGAAAACCACACATAAATCAAAGAAAGAGAGTGTCACCTCAGGAGGTGCTTAAGGATGATTTACTGAAGTTTGGCAAGAAAGTAAAGAAAGAGAGAAAGACAAAGAAAGAAAGACAGAAAGAAAGAAAGAAAGAAAGAAAGAGAGTCAACACACTTTTCTCCTCAAATGAGATCTGATATACTGTACTATATTACTGATTATTCTATCGAGGAAAAGAGAGAGACAGAGTACGAGAGAGGGAGAGAGAGAGAGAGAGAAAGAGAGAGAGGCATAAGGCAACATGAACTGTGATGACAAGAAGTGGAAATCAAGCAACAGCAGCTGGCTGTCAGAGGACTCACTTCTGCCTGATTAAAAAAAAAAACAGAAAAGACAGAGGGAGGAGGGGGAGGCAAATATGTGGTGAGAACTGATGATGTAAAAGAGAGAAAGGAAGAAAATATAGAAATATACTATATACTCTAACAAAAATGAAGCTATTTCTTTTATTATTTTCCAACATTTCTGCATAATTAAATTCATTAGAGATGCTATCGAGAGTAACTGTGATGCTAGCAATGTCATTCAGGGTGGTTTGATGTGAAATGCTCTGTTGTAGAGAAACTCACTGATTGAGAGTTGCTCACAGCGCTGGTGATAGGAACCCAATGTCTGAAGTGTTTTCTTTAAAAGCTCCCTCACAAACAGTTATTATATGAAGTGGTTATAAATGTTACCTGATGCTTGATACATTGTTTTACAACAGTTTTGCAATAATATTTTTAGACTAAAATGTATTTTTTTTAGCCTAAAATGTCATTTTAATTGCCTGTACCTCTGGCAAAACAGTCCTCAAAGAAAATTTTTTTCAGGTTCACCGCTATTTTACCATTATCAAAATTGCATATGCTGTTTATTTTGGTTTTCTTTCTTTAGTTATATAAAAACTCATGTAAAGACGTGTATAGGTTCTCTGGTGGTCTTAGATAGTAAATAAAGTGGCTATATTTGTGTTGTAGATATCATGACCCCTGGTTCCTATCACCACTGTAAAGAAATCTGTACGTTTTTCTACAGTCAGAATCATTTCGCATCAAACACTGAAATATGCAGAAATTTTGAAAAATCAGTGAAATTCCCTTTTAATGATGTGACTTCTCAAAGCACACGTATGAATAGGTATACACTGGATGACACTGGGCACCCAGCCATAAAGGCAGCATGATGTGATAGAAAACACAGCAGCACATATAAAGCTCTGATTACACATGATGACTCATTCCACTATGATCCACACAACTACTCTGAGGACATATTTAATGAGCTAAAGAGCACAGACAAACACTCTGAATGAACTGCAGATGAGCAGGGTGGTCCTGAATAATCTAAGTACTTGAGTATCCGCACGTAAAATATTTGTTCCTGTATTCTGTTTTCTCTGTAGTACACTCTTGGGGATCCTTGACAATTTAGAGGCTGTTTTAAGCAAAACATTTTATGATAAAACCAGGAGAAAAATGAAGAAAACTGTAGAGACTGCAGAACCAAATAATGTAATAATTCCCCAATAATAAAAATAACAAGTAGAAATTTTGCACTAACCCTGGTCAAAAATGTAATAAAATCCAGTAATGTACATGTTCAACAATGTAATACAATGTCTTAACTGATAATTTAATAAGATTGTCACGGATAATCCAATGCCTTATTACATTATTAGGAATTTATTACCTGTTCATATTAACATACATAATATCTTATTACATTATTGAGAAAAATGGAAGGTACCACTGTTGGCCCTTTGGTAGTGTTATGGTCAAATGATTTACTGTTTATCTTTATCATAGTTATAATCTGTAACCAGAACCAGTCTTACAAGAAGTCATAAAAGTGGAGGCTTTCTTAAGTCGAAAGAACTCTGTCTCACTGATGCTCCCCTCATTCCAAGCTGGATAAATTAGGAAGTATTACGGGTGACCTTTGAGAACTGCTCCTAAAAGTATCACCATCATGCATTTTATAAAAAACCAGAGCAAAAATAATCAGCTTACAAAGACATTTTCAACAATGCAATTAATTAATAAATAAAAAATTCCCAATAATGAAAGGATTTACATTATTGTTAAAAAGCATCATTGCATTATTATTTAAGACATTGGTTTATACTATTAGGTAAGTTATTACATCACTGGACTTGAGTACATTTTTGGCCAAGTTAGGTGCAAATGTGTGTTACATTTTTGAGGTTTTTACATTATTGGAATTTTTTTTCAATATTCGGTTCTACAGAGACAAAACAACAGACTTTAGGCATTATTTCAGCTTCAAGATGGCAGCTGCTACTGTTTTAAGCTATACAATATACGTTTGTCCATTATTCAAAGATACCAGTGTGTCATACAGAGTCAGAAACTACAGAAGCAAGTCTGTTTGAAATTACACAACAACTTGGCACAGTTTGAGGCAAGTGTGTGATGATTTAGGCATCCAGTTAGCATGATGCTAATCTGTGAGATATATATTATTTGTTGCTTCCATCATTTATTGCAAAATTAGGTTCATAGATACAGTGCAAAACTAATGAACCAGACCTCAGATATAATGGTAGAGACAATCTCTACTATATTAGAGTTATTTTTCCAATTAGATTCAGTATCATTAGCATTGGCTTTTGAGCGAGAGAGGAAGTTAGTGATGTAGCAGGATCGGAGGAGCCGGCCATATGGGAGAGAATAGAGTGTATGCCGCAGCCAACAGCATCGCAGGAAACTCCCAGTCGCTTTCACACTCCTCCGAGCCTCGCGGCATGACTGAATCAACTGCCAAACTGGAGTCTGGTAGCACTGCTTAACACTGATTACAAAATACGTCATTTGTTTCACAATAAATAAAACAATCATGAAATCCAGAGCTTTGCAAACTGGATAAGGGCTGCCAAATCATATAGTATTACAGCATGTTATGATGATAGATAAACAATTGGTATCATTTTTTCACCAGGGTATCA